TCCTTCCCCCTCCCTCCTCCCTCCTTCCTTCTTCCCCCTTTCTCCTTCCCCCTTCCTTCTTTCTCCTTCCCCCTTCCTTCTTCCCCCTTCCCCCAATACAGGCAGGCAGACAGACAGTACCTCTGGTGATTTGACAGCAGCAGTAAAGTATTCAGATTTAGATATATAACCAATCTTCTCCAATAGATTATCTAATCCTATTCTCTTGTTTATTAACAATCTAAGATCATCTCTGGAATAAAAAACAGAATGTAAATGAGTGAGATAAAATGGATGAAAGAATGAAATTGAATTAATGCAATGGGATGGATGGATGGGATGGATGGATGGATGGGATGGATGGATGAATGGATGGATGCATGGGATGCATGGGATGGATGGATGGATGAATGGATGGATGGATGATGGGTGTATAGATGGATGAATAAATCAAAGGGACAGATGAATAGATGGATGATGTTGGAAAGTGGAGGGGATTGGATTGAATGAAATGAACAAACAAATTATATATGTGGGAATGTATGAACTATAGATGGATAAACATAAAAAGATTAAAGATGACTAAATGGGATGAAAGAAAAGAGTAATATGAACAAAATGAAATTCGTTTGATGCCATCACTTCATCTTCATCTAATGAATATAAATTCAAAACTTGAATGAATATATATTCAATATAAACAATAGACAGCCATTCCCGAGTTCCACATCACTGCTGTGTTCCTYRACTACAAACTCATTTACACAGGATTAGCCTCGTATCAGTGTTCAAATATTCACAAATACCAACAGTAAAGTAAAGAATGCACAACTTCAACAATACAAACACTTTGAAATTCCACGGACCTTGACTGGAAAACATGAATATTACACACAAAATCAAGGCTAATCCTGAGCAACAGAGAACTCGAAACTGGAGTATTCAAATTAAACAAAAAACAAAAAACCAGAAATCTCACTTTTTAAATTTGTCAACAGAGTCATCATTAAAAGCCAAACAGAGTCCCAACAGAAGCCCACACAGGTATCCCACAAGCCTCTCTCTTTCCTCTCCATGGGATTCCACTTGTGCCATCAGCTGAGATTAGTTAAGGAAAAACAGCACAGATAAAAAAGTACAAACACAAGCGCAAGAAAATTKAAAATTTCAAATCCTTTTCAATTTCCATTTCTGAACTTACAATGTTCATGAGAACCAAACTTACAGCTATTTTCAAAAACGTACGACTGTACTTGCAATTTGCCCGTTGGAATTTGGTTTTTTGCTGCCGCCAATGAAAAGGAAACAAAAGGTACTGACTGATTAGTCTAGACTGCAGAAAAAAACTAAATTCCAGCACGTAGCTCGCAGCTGTGACCCATAATGCCTTGCAATTCAAGATGGCTGCCGCCTCAGTGAAGGAGTTCACTGACATAGGGGGTTCATATAACTACAAGATGCATTTTTTATCAATTTCCAATATTTAATGTTTAAATAATCCAACTAATCCCAAAATAGAAGGGGATTCCATTAGACCCCCCTTTTGAAGCCATTCACGCACTAGAATGAAATTTATCAAAATCATTGTTTGTCGTCAAAATGCAGGAAATAGAGTTTCTAAAACCGCTGTTTTTTAAAATCCTGGATTTGTGAATGATTGCCCTCTAAATCGGTCAATGCAATCACTACGGTTTTCCATATTCTGCAAACTCTGTAGCTACAAGTTGCACGCTGCACGCTGAAATTTGTTTTTTCGCTGCTGTCAATCAAAAATAATCAGTTGGTACCTTTTATGTTCTTGACTGGCGGCAGATAAAAACCTATTTCACAACAAGCTTTTGAAATTTCAGAGTTCGCAGAATATCGAAAGCTGCAGTAACCATAAACTCAAATCTGGTTCTCTATATTGATTTCATACTGTAAGGATACGTATGGCACGTTGGCTGAATTATGTAGGAAATGAGCAACAGCTATAGGACAGTTAGACAGCCAGGAACACAGCAACACCAGCAGGCCTACTCTAGTTTGGATAACACCTCCCTGGAGAAAAATGCAACGAATAAGGTTTGTGGTGAGTGCACTTGCCTCTTACCAATGTGACCCAGGATCGTTACCAAATTTATTTTATCCATCCATCCATCCATCCCATCCCATCCCATCCATCCATCCATCCATCGATCCACTTCCTTACTTACTTCCTTCCTTCCTTCCTTCCTTCCTTCCTTCCTTCCTGCCTGCGTGCGTGCGTGCGTGCGTTCGTTCGTTCGTTCGTTCGTGCATTCGGTAAGGAAAGTACGAAGAAGCATAGCATGCTATACAAACCTGTGCAAGAATGTTTGTACACTGTTGAAGAAGTGAAACCGGTGGATTCCCTAAAAAAATTTTAAAAAAGAAATGAATTTTTAAGACAAAAACAAAATCAGGGTTTTAAACGTTACATCTCAAGTAAGTCTTACAGCAAGACATGTACAGGAACACCTGGCATTTTTCAGCCAATCACAGAAGACTAAAAACTTTCTCAGCTTGGCACAATACTAGCCAATCAGATTTTTAGATGCCTACTACGGATCTCACCGAACTGTGGCGACACGTCAAAAATTTGTCTCACTACCACACCCTAATTCGTCTACTGACACGCCTACTTTTGTTACATGTATTACAGTGAATACCTTACTGGACGAATTAGGGTGTGGTATTTTTGACGTGTCGCCACAGTTCGGTGAGATCCGTAGTAAGTACATGACAAGAAAGAACTAATCGTAAGATGCAGTTACTTTCAACTATTTTTTTCTGCATTATAGTTTGAAAGGAGTTATTYAACAAATTATTAGTCCTCTAGCACGAATGGGCTATTGACTCATAGGCCACAAGGATGAGAGGACTAATTGTTTTAGTCAAATCCAACTAGTCAGTCAAATATTTAGATGCAAACAAGTCTTGAATTAAAGTTAAATTCAATTTTTTGGCTTTCAAAGCCGCACTTTTCGCTACTAGTAGGTTATAACTTACAGCCTATTAGTAGCTCATCCAATCAGAATACAGCATTGGTGATAGACTGCTAATCAAATTTTACTAAAAGACATTAACACCACCGAGAATATCTCCTAAGGTCGAATCAAAATTTTAGAAGTGGAATTTTTGCGGAGGGAGGAAAACCAGAGAACCCAGAGAACCTGGTGAAAAACCTTAAAGCACAGCCATTAAAACCTGACACATTACAGAGCGAATCAAAAATCCATGGGCACCTAGAAATATTTCAAGAATGTTCAATAGCCAATCAGAAGAGTTATGTTATCTTTCCGTTATCGTGTGGTTAGAAAGTCAATTCTGATTGGCCAAAGAAGAATAGAACATTCCTAGAATATTTTAGGTGCCCACGGTTTTTCGATTCGCACTGTAAAACCTACACAATAGGCTCGTTGCAGTTAGTTAACCGTCACGTGTCTGTTCTTGAGAGCAAAATCTTTGTTTTTATTTTGAATTGGTGATTCTTTTTAGCTACTTGTAAAGAACTGAATGAAACGATGTGTAWCCAGTGTGTTACGAAAWGTAGTTTTATTACGATCTCTCGAAACAGGTTGTAGAAAKTTYRTTKGCTCACCAGTATATTTYRCCCATGGGAATCAARATGTTCATTCAYTTGYTCYCAGTGAATTAATCAGCACGTGTTTACTGGAGCTGCAAAGGGCCTATTTAGGTTTGTAATTTAGAAGGAAAATGATTGCATGAAATGATGTACATAATTACCTAGACTAGTAGCTAATTGTACTCTCAAGAGCTGTTCTTTCTGTGTTGGGTTGCCCTTTAGACAGTGAGACAATGCCACTGCAGCACACCAGTTAGATACAGGGTTGGGACTAACAAAATATGAAGAAAAATAATTMTTTGATTATCTGTTTATAATTAACAAATAAAACAGCTTTTTCCGTGCCAGGGGCGGATGCAGGATTTTTTCAAAGGGGGGGTTGTAGCATTGATTAAGGTGGTGAAGAGATATAGCAGACCAAAGGGTTAGSGAGACGATTATTTGCTGCAGGCGAGCATGGTTGTTTCAGGTCCCACACACGGCGTATAGAAAAAAAGGCGAGCGAAATGTGTTCGGCACCCCTGTTTTAATAAAACTCGCGATGCTGTTGGTGTTGTCATGAAAATTTAAAAAATCACGATGGCTCTCAAGGGGGGGGGGGGAGTTGCAACCCCCAAAACCCACCCCTAGATCCGCCACTGCGTGCTCCGTTCAAAAAATAAGGCACGCAAGAATTGGCGTAAGCACGAAAGAAGCGTAAGGAGAAGTACGAGCCGTAGACAAGTGCTTCTCACACTTGTTGAGTGCTTACGGCGCTTCATAAGTGCTTTATTACTGAACGGTGCACGGAAAAAGCTGTTTCATTCGTTTTATTATATAGTTACTAATTATTATTACATTATTGAATTTATTTACGCAAGGAGAAAGATGGTGGCAAGWTCTAGCAGCACTTCGCACGCGCGGATGGCGTCAGCACTGTGTTTCGTTCACTAATAAAGCACAGCTCTCGACCAATCAGTGCGTGCGTACTATCCTAACTATATAATAATATTTGATGGAAAATCAATGTCAGCGTACACCAAATCGAAATACGGTRAACCGAAAATTTTGAATATCTTTTCTTTTGAATGTTTTTTTCTGCGTCTTAAAATTTGCAGCTGCATAAGCTGCTTGATATACTGGATCAGCTCAATTTGGTACATTTGAATAGCTATCGTTCTGGGCCTGGTTGTACGAAGCCTGGATAGCGCTATCCGGCGGATAAATCCTTATCCAGAGGATAAGTCGATGCTGTTATCCAATAAATTTATCCACTAGATAAGATTTATCCGTCGGATAGCTCTATCCAGGCTTCGTACAACCGGGCCCTGGAGGGATTAGCCTCGTGTTCACATGTAAACTTATAAAAGTGCTTTCTAATGTATGAGAGGCTAGTATTTCCACAACAATAGTTATTCAAATTGGTCGTCATATTTCAATTTGATGTATATCACCTCGAGCAAAATTCGAATTTAACACACTGGCTTATTTGTTACAAACCTTTGTACAGACATTTCGGTCTGAACTCACAACTTTAGTGTAAAAAAAAACTACTGTGATCAATCCTGGCTACAAATTTCAAATATCTAGAGAAAGTTTCAAATGCATGGAGATCAAGGAACCCTAGTTAGGGACGGACCATTAGATTTGGGGGGGGGGGGGGGGGGGGGAAAAATCAGGCAAAAACCAAAAACAAATTTGAGAACAGCTTTAAAGAGTGAAAAAAAATCATGCATAAGAAAAGTGCCAGAAAAAAATCCAAATTATGTCCAAAAATAATTCCTGCACAGCCATGAGGCCTCCCCCCCCCCCCAAAAAAAACTCTAATGGTCTGTTCCTTAGTAGCCCTTGATGCAACGTCAATTCAATGTCGAGTCACTGTTAGGCTTTATAAAAAAAACTAATGCAATATGTCTTGCTTTCCGATTGGTTGGGGGCCCATGTTTTATGAAAGCAAAGAGCACTGGTACTCGCTTTCTATCGCATCAATTGTATCCAAAATAACAATATTACTGTTATTTGTATATTTTATGAAAGGAATAAAAAACATGATTGTTGTGCTGTGTGAAGTCATAAAGCAAGCGGGGACTGGCAGAACACTCAAGAAGTGTCCAGAAGCATTCCTCTCTTACCACGAGCTGAGCAGTGAATTTTGTTTAAGCCAATCACAGCGCGTTTAGCTGTTTTGCCGCCGGCCCTTATTCCCAGGCCACTGTAACCCAACTTTTGCATATTTTTCTGGTTTCTTTTGACTAAAATATAATGGCTACAGGAAGCAGAAATATAGAACGGTAGAATAACAACAATTTTGCTTTAACTCCATGTTTGCTTTGTTCTTTCAAGCTCAAAAAATACTTAGGGCCAGTTTGCGCACCGTGTTCACCGCTCAGTTGGTTACACTTCTCTTGTGTTCTGCCAATCCCCCCTGCTTTATATTCGCACACTGTACCTGTACCCGCTTGTATTCTATGTCTTCAAAAGTCCTTACCTAAACAGCCCAGCGCATAACAACTGCCCCGCTGATACTGAAGCTGCTGTAGAATAAAGAAATAATTAAGAACAAAGTTTCCAAAATATTCTGTAGACTGACTTGAAAGAAAACTGAACTATCGATTCAGGGTGTTTGTATTCTTCGTTTGCACGTAACGTCATCGCGGCCATGTTGGTACCATTTAACGAAAGATTTCTCATTAGCATCCATTGTTAACGGTACCACAATGGCCGCCATGTTTTTGTCTTTTAACTCTCTTGGGAATGCTTGCAACCCATCAATCTGTTTTCTAAGACTAGTGTAAGGGTTTTTGTAGCTGTTTTCTAAGTGACTGTAAGGGTTTTTTTGATTAAATCCTATTATAAACTTACCAACATCTGCAGAGGACGGGAGAAGTGTTGATACAATTTGGCTTTGACCTTCTTCGTTCTTGTACAAATAGCACTTTAAAAAACAGTAAAAATAGAGAAAAATAAGTGTCAAAACCGAGATGGATTAGCTTAGTTTAGCTGCAATAATTGTTTCATTTCAGACCACGTATGATTCTCTTGAGAAAAATATTCTTTGTTTGAGTTGTATCTATATTCATGTGTCTTCTCATGTGCAACCATTAAACAAAAAATGATACTCAAGAGAATGATGAGTAATAGGAAGTAGGAAAAAGCTATTGCCAAAATAAGTCTATTGACTTAGGTGCAAGTTCCATTAAACAAAAAAATGAGCACTGGCTCAGACTGGATCATATGTGAGTTGAGTTTGTCTGATGTGTTGTTCTCTCCCTTGCCACGAGGGTTTTCTCCAGGTTCTCCGGACTTCCTCCCTCCGTAAAAATCAACATGTGAGTTGAGTGTTGTATATTGTAAATATAGAATGTAGTGGTAGTGCGTGTGGAGGGAACCTCACGGAAGAGCCCCGTATGGTGAGTGGTGATTGTAAACATATATAAAATGGGAGGTGTACTGTGCCCGTGTAATGTGTAGGTAAAAGTGGCCGAGCATTATTTGCCCTATTTCATAATGACGTCACATCAAAACAAACTATTGTTTTAACGCTAGGGATCATGGTCGCTGGAGGGGAATGGAATGACAAAAACACATCTTAAATCACAATGAAATTTGGTTTATRAGCTGGTGAAGGCAAGARCAACTAAATATTACGCTAAATATCTCGAAAGAAGAGAATTAAGCTTAAATTTAKCCTAAATTCCTATCATTTTASCCGATGTAMACAAACCATGACGTCATTACGAAATATACTCTATATGCTCTAAGATACTTTTGAACAATAATTTTTGACATACTTGAAAACAGTAGAGTACAGCACATCTCAAGCTGAACGGCTGTTTTTCATTTATCATGGACATCAAGAGAACAACAATGGCAGGCCTGTAGATCAATCATATTACATTTGTTACTCTGTAAATCAAATAGACCCTTTTCGAATTCCAAATTACCGCTGTGTTCCTTGATTACAGACTCATTTACTCAGGCTTAGCCTTGTATCAGTGTCTAAATATTCACAAATACCAACGATAAAGTAGAGTGCACACCGTCAACAATACAAACACTTTGAAATTCCACGGACCTTCACTGGAACACGTGAATATTTTACACATAACGAGGCTAACCCTGAGCAACTCAAGCCCTAAGTATCATAGCAGGCTGATATAAATTGAATTTCCATTTTGAATTTTGGTCTCTGCTTGTTTCTTGGAACAGAGGTACAGTGGGTTCTCAGTCATGGGAGTCAAAATTTTATCTATGACATCAGCAGAAATTACTGGCAAGTGTTCGATATCAGTACATTTGGAGAACAATGTCAAAACAAGAAGCACCGGTGGCGTGCGCTGCTAATGCACCGTCTCTCACCAATGCGGCCCGAGTTCGAGTCCTGCCGATCTCTATGTCGTATGTGAGTAGAGTTGTTTGTTGGTTCTCTCCTGTTCTTCGAGGGTTTTTCTCCGGGTTCTCCGGTTTTCCTCCCTCCTCAAAAATCAACTACGAAATTCTAATTCTTTGGGCTTTCACCTAGTTTGGAGCCTAGTTCTGTTGTGATTGTCCCACGTTGTGATACAACAGATAAAGCTAGTAGAAAACTTCTTGGTGACCGTACCACAATCCAACATGATTTATACCATGTGACGGCTAGCGCTCAAAAGGTGAATTCAATAGTTATAGCGATGATATATTCATTGATTGGGACTAACCTTGGTGGATCTGATGGAGCATTGACTTGAGAGAAGTAATCTTGATTTGCAGGGAACCCTCTAATGACTTCAGATACGGCATTGATTGTCTATGACGACATACCACATAAACTGTTATCTTAATACATTTTACTCACTATCTCGCTTCTCATTGGCCGAGAGCCCTCAGCCAATCCCTGATGTCGTGGGAACTTGACATGATAAATGACAGTATTTTCTGTAGCTTTTCCTGCATTTATCATGTCAAGTTCATTCAACGTCACAACAGGGATTGAAATATGTTTGCTATCAGGGCCGTAGCCACCGGTACCGTTGGTCTGGTTTCAAYCGGACTAACTTTCGGGGGGAAAAATAAGAAAAATAATTAAAAAAWATAAGAAAAACTGAAAAACCTCGAAATCTAGCCTGCTTGCAGCCGGCCTCTAACTGRCTGTTACTATACAAGACAAAACTCCGGCTGCACGCAGGCTATCGAAATCCAGACCAATCAGAAATTTGTGGCTACGCCTCTGGCTATTTCTTTGAAAGCAGAACGAAATTTTGATTCTCAGTTTACAAAATTATAATAAAACAATAATTGATTTTCACATGATATCGTAAATTACCAAGAGCTCTGCCGTTTTGTCCGCCTCAGCCTATGGCTTCGGCAGAGAACACTGCCTTGGTCTTGATAATTTACCATATCATGCTTCCCATAATAATATTAGTTAATAATCTAACATACCTCTGTAAGAATATCAGCTGGAATTCCACTAGCCATCAAGATACCACACAGCAGCTTTAGTAATCCTGGGGAAATCAAAAAGAAAATCATTTGTCTGTGTCTAGATTAAGGCTCCATGAAAATTAGCAAAGGGAGAAAATTTCAAACAAGGAACGAAAGATAAACGAATGGATGAAGGAATGAATAGATTGATAAATGAATNGATGGATGGATGGATGGATGGATGGATGGATGGATGGATGGATGGATGGATGGATGGATGGATGGATGGATGGATGGATGGATGGACGGACGGAGATATGGACGGAGGGATGGATGGATGAGTGGCAGGATGGAGGGATAGAAGGATGGATTTATGGATCGACACATGGACAATAGATTGGAGGGTTGGATGGATGGATAAATGCATGGAAACAAATATCACAAGTGACACACATTCATTATCTCACCTGATTGATTCATTATTTTCTGTGCGCTAGTAGTCGCCTGCTGAGGATTATCAGGTGAAACCAGAATCCTTACGACCTAACGATAAATGTGGACATACTTTATATCATCACAAATACGATGTCAATGAAATAAAATCAGAGATAAATAATGAGCCTTTTGCAACAAGCAGTCACATGCTGATATATGACTTTACTAACGAATCAATTCAGCTCAAGGTCTCTTTGGGAAGGCTCTGCTGGATGGCAAACAAACTTTAAACTGCTTCGTATCTTGAAATCGAAAGTATCTTATTAGGAGGGAAAAGTATTTTTGAAAAGGTTTTGGATACGACATTAGTGATACAACAAAAAATCTTTAAATAAAGGAAATCCAATTTTTTTTGCCATCCAGTAACAATCAAGTGTCCATCTATTGCAAAAGGCCTTTTCATGTAAACAGCTGTTCTTGTACTTTATCCAAGGCCACCAAAAAATTTTTAAATCAAATTCACAAATCACATTTTTGATGCCAAATAACAGATGAATGGTGACAAATTCTGAAGTTTAATGTCCTTTGTTCACTCCACATATAAAATAAAATRTATGCTCTTAAAGGGAAGAATGTAAAAATTTGTGCAGATTCTAGAACCTTAAATTGCTTAAATACTCAATCGTGATTGGCTAATTTGTATAAAATTTTGTCTGGGTGGGCTTGGTTGATGTAGTTGCACTCTTAAGGTCTGGACCCACTAAAAAATAAGTTGTGGAYGTGATATGAGATCTGGTCACAACCTCAACAAACCAAAGGAATAAAAGACTATAATTGTGTGGACCTAGTAATTAATTTCACATGCAAAACATGTCCTTAGCTTGCATAATATTTTCCCATTTCAGACCACTTCCCCATAGCTTCCTAGGCAGATGTTCTTCGTGTCTGTCTCACAACCTTTCAATCCCCACGAAACAATGAAACATTACGTGGTAGACCCAAAGAACGTCTGCCTAGGAGTTTACTTCTTTTTTTTACTCCGACGAAGGACTAGCGTCCGAAACGTCAGTAAGTTTTTTCATCTTTTCACGGTATAAAATTGACCTTTTTATCATTACTGTTTCATTAGAAACACCGACGCAGCTCACACTAGTTTTTAGCTAGTTATATCTTCAGTATACTACCTTGCTGTGCTGTGAGAACACTCGAAAAGTGTCAAGAAGCACTTTGCTATGTATGCTAACATTTCTCTCATGCTCTGACAATATCCGACATGTGCTTTATAACTGCACATAGCACTTGTGTGTGTTTTTTCTTTATTCAATAGTGTACCTTAAGCATATGCTGGACATTAGATACTTTTTGCTCTGACCAACCAGTTTCACTATCACCTGAAATAAAAAAGCATGAATATTAATATATAATTTATTAGTGTGTGTGCRAGTGGTGGAAGAAGGTAGGGGTCCCAGGGGGTACTCTGGGCTAAAAGTATCAGTTATGCTTGTCGGAAATTTCCAAAAATACCCCTTTAAGATATCAAACAAAATTTGTCTTTTAAAAAGGAATGTGATAGGACGACTTTTAACCCCTAAGAGATACCTTAAAAGATGCCAAGATATGCTGAAATCATAAATTTCAATTTCAACAGCCTAAAAGACACCAAATAACTATTTTTGACCCTAAGAGATATGTTAATTGAAGTATTATGATCATCTGGGTGGATGTAGTCCTGAGAAGGACTGTTTGATGTGACTGACGTTTCGACAACCTGAGCGGAAGTCATCTTCAGAGTCTAAGAGATCTGACGAACATCCCCAATACTTTTACCCCAAAGCCCAACCCCAGAATGAGGCGTATTAGACCTATGTCAAACTGCGGCTTGTGTTGTTAAAAAAAGGAGGCAGCATGGTCGAGTGGTCGTAGCATCAGTCTCGCATTCGGTGGTGCCRGGTTYGAGTCCCACTCTGGCCACTAGCTGAGACTGTATTTGTCCTGATTCCTGATTAGTTCAGATTCAGTTTCTCAACCATGCTTGTAAATAGCCAACTGGTTTGCCTCTGCCAGTTGGAATCTTCTAGCAGTATTATGTTTATATTTATCTATTTCAGTTTCTAATATGTCTCCCCAATTAGCTCTGAAGAGCTAAATACATTGAGGCGTAAATAAAGTGGATACATTTATTTTTATTTTAAATGTTATAATAGATTATTTTTTATTTGCAGGCATTATTTATTCTGTTCTTTATACACTGTCTAAAACAAATGTGGAGAAGTTCTTTATGCAATTTTGCTGCATAAGTGCAGAAGGCGTCAGCAATTGCTCCACAATAATAATACACCACAGTTCTCGACCAATCAGAGCATGCTTACTATGTAGTTCCAAAAATTATTCATTACCCCCCCCACCCCCCAGAGAATTTTCTTAAAGACCCACCTACCATCTACCCCCAGAAATTCCAATTTTCTTTCATACAAACTCTGTAACTTTGTTCTTTCTCTGACCCCCCTATGAGGTATTGATAATTTCTGGAAATATGGTTCTATTTAGGTCTACACAATACCTTGAATTGCTAAGGCCGACATTTCAAAAAGGGAGTAAACCTCTGAATAAAGCT